GATTGTGTTCATTAATGGAATGAACATTATGAAATTCATAATTCCAGTTAAATATTTTAGTAATAAGCACCCTGGAATTCTTGAAATATCTGTGACTTTAAAAAAAATTATAATCTGTTGTCTTCTCTACTTAGATTTGCAAGTCCGCATTTAGTATTGTGAGATACAAAAAAAAAAAAAGAAAAAATCAACTTCAGCAAGTAGAAGGTTAATGAAGTAATCTATCATTATTCCTAACATATTCATCCCTTTCTAACTTTTTTTTAGCAGCTGACTATTGTTTTCTACATAAAATGTGAATTTTTCATTCCTTACCTTTCAGGCCTCCCACAATTGAGCTGCCACTTTTCTTATCTCTAATCTCCACTCATTTTCCCTTTACAGTCGTACCTACATTGTCCATCTAACACTTTCCCCTTATTTATTTTGCTTTTATTTTACTCCAAATTTACACCATAGACCACCATCCAAGTTAGTTTGCTTGTTCCCCTCACTTTTGAAGTATATACTTTACTACTGAGTAGCATCTACCCCGTTTTATACCAGAGAAATTTGGAAAGCAAAAAGTAGGCTGTTAAGCAGATACAAGCAAGCCTGCTTCTAGCAGATGCCAGGGCAGAAACTCCAGCTTTGTACCTTTACTTCTGACAAAATTAAAAAAGTCCTTGCTGAGTTCCGAGTACAAGATCTCACAGATTACGCTCTCCCTCCTGGCCTGTAACATCCTCCTTCTCTGAGGACTATTCTGTAAAGTCTGCTATCAAAAAAATCTGTGGGAAAACTGAGGAAGAAGTAGAGCAGTAGGTTACTCTTAAAACATAAGCCTTCAGGATTTTAACAGACAATTTTAGGGATTCCTCCAAGGCACACTCAGAGGAGTAACCAAAATATCATTAATTGCTGTTCTGTTTCCTTGGCCTCACCTATTCAGACTGTACCGCAGACTGCTTCTCGCAAGATATTCAGTGGTGAGTTCGTTTAACTACTGAATCTTAAAACATTGCATAAAGCAACATAGCTATGGTTATATATGTGTAACACTGTGTGAATACATGCATTTATCTACAAAATTAACTTATAGAAAAGGCCTTTCTGAATTTTAAACACACAGATCCCCATATATCTCTGGTTTATCACTCAAAGTAATTCACTTGGGAATTCTGTACTCAAAATCTTTGTATTTTGGCTCACATAAGTAACAGTAGGTAGATGAGGGGGAAAAAAAACAAACAGAGCAGTTAAAAGGCCTATTAATTTGCCTAATTTAATCAACTGGTTAATTTTCTGAATGAACTCTATGCCATACAAGAGCCTGAGTAAAAGTTCTAATGGGTCCCAGATTCAAAGCTTGAGGCAGTAAACAATCTCAGTAACTGAAAGCAAATAGTAATGCCTAATTTTTAGATACAATAACTCATGCAATCCAGATAAAATAGAACTGCAGAAAAGCACATTTCTTTTTCACTTGTCTGTAGGGTCTTGGAGATCAGATTTTTGTCAAAGGTTTTGTCAAGACTTGAAAATTATTTCAAAAGACCTTGAGCAGGAGGGGCACAATGTTCAGACACAGGCGAGGAAAACTTAGGATTTTAGTCACAATCAATTGGAAAAGCTTTTGGTCTTGGTTCACAGAAGAGAACTGGTATTAAGTATGTCCCTGGTAGTTTTTAAGTAAAAATTTCAGGGTCATCTAAGCACAGCATTCCACAAAGGAGATGAGAAAAAGGTAAGGAAACACAGCACCAGTTCTTCTTCATACCAGTAAGTAACTGAGCAAAACCAATACCTGATATGTCAGACTCCCCCATTGCATTCCCTAGTAGGTGATATCAGAAACAGAAAAATCTGAGCTAACTTTTCAATTATGAGGCTTTCTCAGTGCAAGAGAACAATGCAAGAGGATAAACCTTAAAGAAAAAAAAGTTAAGAAATAAAGCAGAGCAGGTAAACATGAACCAAAATACAAGCAAGTAAAGCCCTGAGACTGGCACTGGATGCCAGAGTACATAACCAGATGCATTTTCCAGACAGTTGTTTTTTTTCCTTTTAATTACACTCTATTCTCAATTACTTAAGACATACAACCCAGATCCATGAATACTGTGAGGTGTCTGTGCTATGGATGATGAGACACACAAAATACCTTCCCAAGAACTACCTGGGATCACAGACCTTCACACTATGTGCCACAAAGGCAGAAATGAACGTTACACCCCACATCCCTAAACTATACTGTCAGCTACAGCACTCTTCCCTGCCCAGCACATGAAGACGCAATAAAAGTTCAGTTTATGTTTATATATTATTTTTTATTTTACACATGCATTCTAACTACTCATTTTTAAAATTAACTGTAAACAATTAAGTCTTCATCAAATCTAAAATGTATAATTTCAAAAGATAAGACTTAAAAATTTTCCGTACTTAACAAGGGTAGCAGTTGTGGTACACTGCTCTACTGCATTCTGTGGATTAAACAGCCTCCTTAAAGTGCATGTGGTCAAATTGAACCCCTGGGTTCAGTGTTCAGCCTGTGTTTTGTGAGTAAAATGTCCAAGAGTGTGCTCTAATGGAAAGGCAAATTACAGAGACAGAATAAATGTTGCCCTTCTTACTGCAAGTGTATGATGCCAGACCACCACTGATCTCATACAAAGCAGTTGTGTACACCAGGACGTTGGACTTACATTGAAGCTTGCAAAGTATTTACACTTTAAATTGAGGAAAAAATTGCTTTTCTGATTTATGGCTGGTTCTAACAACAATTGTAATATAAGTGTCTAAAGTAGTTTTGAATTTTTCTAAACATCTGAAACGTGTAATAGAAAAGAGTATTTAAGTTGCTATTCGTAGTCAACACACCACTCAGTGGGGCATAGGCTGTTAAGTGATGCACATTTGGCACAAAAATATTATTTTACTCATTTATGTGAGCTGTTTCCACTATGATTAGGGTAGGAATAGAAAAGCCTGCTCTAGAACAAGATCCTCTAACTCAGCTGTGCTTGTCTGAGATGATGTGATGGGTAATGCCAAGTATTTGGTTTATACCTTTAGTCTCTCTGCAACAGGACATTTTCAAATCTTTACGTGTATGTATACACACATACACAGGTAATGTGCATTACATGGTAGCAGATATTGTGAGCACTAGTACTGAACAAAGTCAGATGACAGAAGACAAAGTTGCACATGAACTTGCTACAAGCTCTACTAAATAACTGATTTTTTGTATTCACATAAATCACTGCTTTATATCAGGGCGTGAATATGCCCCGTATTACTCCTCTAGTGATCAAGCTACCACACAGTTCTGGCATCCCAGCATCAGATAGCAATGGATTATGGAAAATTCAGAGACAAAAGTACAAATCTTATGGAGTAAAAGGTGAAGATTAAAACAAACAAAAATAATATTTCCAACTATACTGGAAACTAATTATCCAAAGCTTTCAACAATAAAAGGGGAATTGTTTAATATAATCAAAGAGTTGTAAAGAGAAATATTCATATGAAAGTGAATAGCAAATAATTAAAAGACACTCCCATAAAGAAATTTTACATTCAAGCAGCCAAGATTTTTTATAAAAGTAGCCTAGACAACACATTTAAATACATTGATACATCCAACCTTGTCCAAGAACCACCTAATAAATATTATCTTTTATTTTCTTTTTATTTTTTTTTAGTTGAAATTTACTCTACAAGGCACAAACTAGAAATCAGTGGCTAGAAACAGATGGTTAAAACTTACAGTACAACATATGACAATTAAAAATCAACTGAATTAACTATTACTTCTGAAGTATATTTTTTTTTTTTACTAGCTAGCTAATGAATAAAAATTTTTATGTGGCTAGATTTTGAAAAGGAACTGAGACTGATTTTAACTACTGTTCTCTTTTGATGTAATTTAAAATTACTCCTACTAGAATATATTTAAGTATAATGAGATTACAATGGATACCTTACACAGCAGGTGTCTGAATACAGGAACCAAAGAGGCCCTTTCCACTCTCATGTAAGGCACTTAGCAGTATCCGACATTGATGTTGCATTATCCTTGATTGGTTTCAGTTCAGAGGTGTCACGTTTCATTAAGAGAAGTCTGCTATGTTATTCTACATTTTTCCTCTTAAAATTCTCTTATAATTGTGAAAAGGACTTATACAACTCACATGATCACCTCCCAATTCATATTCTTTCTGACAGACATACCTGGGGCTACAGCAGACCATATCCTTACAGTTTCAACTTTTCCTACCAGTGGAAGATGTTCACATGGTCCCAAAAAGTATGTCGAACAACATTGTAGTAGGTAAAACATGGAAGGAGTCTATTAATATTTCTTTGCCCTGGCATTTGTTCAGGAAGCACTGGGAACATGTCATATATATACCCATAAAGCAAAGAACTTGCAAATACACAATGGACAAATTTAACTTTCTTTTAAATAACAGAAAGGAAAGGGAAACAAATATCTACTTCTCTCTGCAGTACTGCAGCTCTCCTTGTCTTTTCTTAGGCAACAGAAAAGAGTAGTTAAACAGGCACCATATAATGAATTTTTTATCCTTAAACAATAAATTACTTGCACCTATGACAAATCAGTTGAGTGGAGACTGAAAATCAAAAGACCAAAGTGCAACATCAAATTTATATTTCATAAAAAGACTGAAATGTTACGTATTATACCTTTGTGCAACAAAGGGTTTAGATGGGGGCAGGTGGGGAGAAACACATTAAAACAGTACACAGGCTGTTACTCCATATGTGTTTGCAAGGCTATAATAAATGTTTTTAATCTACAAAACATTTGAGACTAAAAATCCAATTTGTAGGTTGTTTGTTTTGGGGTTTTTTTTGTTTTTGTTTTTTTTAAAAAAAAGAATAGTTTTAAAGTGTATAGCATAGCTTCTACAGTATAAACTTGCACAAAACTAACAGCAAAGGTCTATCCTTTACGCTTTTGCTAGGGTATAAAATATGCAGAATCCTACCAGGCCATATTGCCATGGGCTGTGTTGTCAAGGTGACAGAGTAGCTCCAGGGTTTGAGTGTTGCTTGATGAATCATCAGGGGATTCATGACTGCCTGATTCCAATTCCTTCGGCATTCTCCAAACAGCAGCACATGTCATGACTTTACTGTCTGAAGCTAAGCAACAGAGAATAATGCCAACAGATCATTGTATGGAAGACGTATTTTGTATACAGTGCATCAACATTTACACAAATCTATAAGCAATGCACATCTGCTGTTTATTTTAAAATATTATATGAAGATGAATTTAAAGAATGCAGAACGTGGATACAGACACAGACCTCAAGGCAGTAGTCAAGTTGCTGCAAACTCATAATTAGCACGCATTTAACCACACTTTTCCCTGTTTAAAGGCAAAATTCAGTGCTCATGAAAATTTTACTCTGGGAGGCAAGTTTCCAAGCTTCATTCACCATACTGATGTCATTTTCCTTAACGTTACAAGTTACATAGTTACATAGCTCGATACCTTAGCAATAAGGATTCTGACATCGTTTTAACATTTTCCTTTTAAGGGCTATATTCAGTTGAATCTATGCATTATTGTCATATCCTTAACTACCATTTATTTTATATTTATTGCAAAATTAAGTTCTCTGTACAAGTACACTCCTTTAATTCTAGCAAATAAAAACAGCTTCCAAAAGACATACCGGACTTTTATACTTATAGCAAAATATTACAATGCATGATGAACAAGCCAAATGTAGACTGAGGAGAAAACAACATATGGTTTACGCACATATGGCATTGCCCATCACCCAGTATAGCAATTTGTAACAGTGCAAAATGGGAGGAGATCAGAGTAGCACAGCTTATGTTCACGTTGTTCCAGCCGCTGGTCCAGGGTTGACAGGAGACAAACAGGTCAGTATTAGCCACTACAGCAGGAACAAAGAAACCAGCCACAGTGATGTTAGGCAAAAGCAGGGGGAGCAACTTCCTTATGGAGGACGTGCTAAAAAATAAGCAGCAATGACTGATGTATTTTCTGTTCTGAGGTCACTTCACGTGCCTCTTTTTCACAGTTCTGTCTTCGCATACAATTTTGGCTGATTTTAGTGCTGAGCGCCTGATCAGAGCTGTGAGCAGATGCAACCAACTCACATCAGTGGAAAAGGAAACAGGAACAATTGTAATGAGAGTGTTTTCACAAAGTAAGGATGCTAAATCTGAAAAGGCCTTCTTAGGCTAAAATGACATTAATGGTGTGGGGAAGAGTCTCCATTATAAAGGTTGCCAATCTGGATATTTGTTATGCAAAAAACCACACCCAAACAACAGAGAAAAAGACAAAAATTAATTGATACCTAGTAATACATAGTAAATAAGTCCAAAATGCAAGAATGCAGACATGTTTTAAAAGTAGCCATACGAAACAAAAACCATAGATAGTTCAGTGAAACCAGGAAAAAAGGCCATTTGTTTGAGAAGGAAACAGGTAGGAAGACTTCTTCAAATTCAAGCACAGAATTCTGAACACGCAAGCACTGGGTATTTGATAGATTGTACTAAATATAGAACATATGCATGTTATGACGCACATAACTGTTCTACAGTAATGTGGTGTATACAAGTTGAATACAGTATCAGGAGACCACACATATAAAGATGATGGATAATCCTTTATTTATTAAAACTTTATTGAGCTTTCACTAATTGTAGGTCATGCTAACTAAACAGCTATTTTCAAACCATGAGGCAAGTCCTTTACTCTAAATCCACGTGCCACTAAACAAAGAGCAAGAAGCAGCAGCTACCTTTCTTTAGCAAAGGGCAAATCAATGCACACCATACAACTGATAAATAAACTAAACCGAAAGTGCAACATAGTTCAGGAAGGTGAGATTTATCAAATGTCTCACCTTGATACTCAATATGTGACAGACCATTAAAGAACACCATAAAGAAGTTTCTGGTAGATCATGATTACTGAAACATCTGTACCATGCATATAAAGCGCTAGCTTTTCCATCATCATCAAGATCTATGTAGAGAAATGCACAAACAAATAATGTAAAACAAACTACATGTTTCTCAAGCCATCTTTCCTCTCAGAAGAGCATCATGAGTCTTAAGACAGCCTTGAAATGTCATCTTAACTTCTTATGACTGCAAGGTTTTGAAATTGTGATGTGTTCCTATGAATATCCTTTTAAAAAATATTTAGTTTCCTGCACAATCAGATTTCTAGATTGAAAAGCCTGAAATAACTGAACAAATTTGAAGATTTGAAGATTGAGGGAGGCTGAAGAAAATATATACATATATTGAAATCTCCCTGAAACTTGATGTAACCCAGGCTCCTTTAGCACTTTGGTGTACTGAAAATTGTCAAAAGCCATCATTAGAATGAAACTGCTTGAATTTTTAATGTGTGCAGCAATTCTACATAAATTTTATATTTGTTTTCAAATTATTACTACAGGTGCTGCTAAAGAGCAAGACTGAAATGTACCTTGATACTCCAGTCAGAAGATATTTGCTCGAGGAGCGAAAACAAGTTTATCAGATTTCCACATTTTGCAGACCTATCTATGCCATCCCTTGGAGCCCAGCATACAGCATCCTCTCTGGAAAGCTGTTCAGCTGCTCTGATGATCTGATGCATATCAGATGACATTTACTCTTCCAGAACACAAGAGAAGCTTATATTTTTGAAATGTAATTTGACCACAGTAGATTTCTGTATTAATAGCTGTTGTTATGTAGTATGTTAGGTAATTTTTAATATTAAAATTTTATCATTAAAAAAAAGCTTCACGTCTTGCATATTAGCACACTTCTTTAAAATATAATTCTAAAATTAAGGATCCTTGTCAAAATTACTGGGCATCCCAACAGCACAGTAGTCATTCATTCTTTCTCTGATAGTGGAATTGTTGTTTTCTTCTGTCCATGTTTACAGAAATATAAAAACCATCTATTTTTAATTGACATTAAGAAAGGTTCAGTGAGGGAGCTGTCACTTCTCACTATAAATAGAAAAATTTTACTTCCTTCTCATGACCTATATTCATTACATTTTGGTATTCACTAAAAGTTTCTTCTTACATTACCATTCCATACCTATAAAACAAGCTTATTACATCCACTTCCTCTTATAACATCGATATTCCTGCAAACAGCCAATAACAGTAAAAGGGTCTGAAGGCACAGAATTTCACATGCAGAATTCGGTGCCATTCTATGCCTGTTTCACCTCATCAGAACTAGTGGTGAAGGATAAAGTTTGTTGTGCATCAGAAAGTGACAACACTAAAAGCCAACATGCACAAACTCCCTCAATACTCAGCACAGACATCCACTGCTTTCTGCTGGGTTTGCTGCTCATGGAAAATGACAGACCACTTTCCAGCCGTGGAATGACCATTCATCACAAACAACTGTATGTGCATTGCAAACCTTCAGATTCCAGTTTTAAACTTTGGATGGATTCTGGAATTAGATACATGGCTGAAATCTGTAGAGCAGAGACTTGATTCACAGCACTATTAACTTCTCCTTGCACTTATTATGTACTTACCTGCAGTTCTGACACTTATTAAATTCCCAGATGTGTGAAACCAAAATGGAATTGCCATGGCCTTCCATAGAATTAACTTTAGATATGGCTGGCCTTAAGCAGTAACTTTAGATATGGCTGGCCTTAAGCAAGGCTTAATTTCCCTCTACATAAGGAACTTTTTAAAAGTGATACCATTTTCTCCCTGGTAAATGAGAGAGTAAACACTAGTGCTAAGTATAAGTGTCACTCCATTATCACAGATGGAGTGGAGCTTTTTTGTAAGTCACGATTCCTCTTAATCAAATAACCACTAGCAACAAACCTACAGGAACCCATAGACATAAGACAACTCTCACTGCATAGAAATCCAAGTCCCAAAACAAGCTTCTTATGGCTGTATGACAAGAGCTAACAGTACACAGTATTCGTGGAATTACCCATTTAGCCTTATTTCCCAAGTGATCATATTAAAATTTAAAAACCTAGTATTACTAAGTAATTTCAGTACCATCTCTGTAGTGCCATTGCTTACCTAGAATACCTACAGGCAAAAAGAAATTCCAGATTTTTCCCTTCCTTTACTATCTTTACATCACCCTACTGCACAAATACACACAAAATGACAATGTTTTAATCTCCCACCTCTCATATTATTTCTTAACAATGCTGATAGACCAATATGAATATAGTATTTAAATGTCAATACCAGTTATTCTGTAAAGGAAAGAAAAACAGGAAAAACACATAGTGTCTATTTGGCACTATAGTCACATAGTCATGCTGCTATGCCTTCCTTAAAGCTATTTAAATAGTTTGAAATCACTTTTCCAACCCTACCTCATACTGAAACCAGAATTTTTATTTATGTCACAGCACCAATGCAGAAAAGAACGGATAAGGTTAAGCTAGTTTCTGTTGTCTTATCACTGAGCTTTTTAAGAAAAGTGTTATTGGTTTTAAATAAGCACTATTGAACCCGACTTGTGAACCTGAAAGTCAATCTCACTGAATTCCTAAAGCATTATTCACATAAAATGACGCAGGAATGGGACAAGGAATTGTTTAATCTTTGTCACATTTGTTCTTCTTCATTCAAGAGAAATGCCTTGTCTAATTTCTTGTGCGTCTTCAGTATACCTATGCCAAGGTAGAGCTATGGATGGAGCTAGATGTACCGTTCCAACTGCAACTACCCCCTGTTAAGCCTTGTTTCCTCAAGTTCATCAATACAGTCTCCTGTACAGAGGATGCCATCTGCTAGAGTTCCACCTACAGGAATACAGAGTTTTATCTACCTGGTTCTGTTGAAATGATCTAGGGTTACAAACAAGCAAACCAGAACTCTATGAATAAGGAAATAATCCCACATTTTGGCAGCACCGAGTCAGGAAGTAACTATACATGATGCTGGCAGCAATGAGGGTGCAGTAAACAGGAAACAAACTTGGGCAAGTTCAGCCAAAGCCTAAGAGAGATAACGATAGCTACAGAGCACAAGGCCCTCTTTAGATGCCTACTTTACAAGTCGAGCAAGTGAGAAAACTCTTTGCATGCAGAGTGTGCAATTTGCAAAGGGTCACAACTTGGTCAAATCGATACCAATTTTCACTGCAGCACTCAAAAGTACTTCTCAATAAGGGCTATTTCCATGACAATTTGCAATTTTCCACTACCAGATGTTCCAACGCAGAAAAAAAGTAGAAGTTGTAGACAGGTGAAGCATTCTGTTTATTTTCCCCTTGCAGAGTTGCTCCAACTTAAAAGTAAAAGCCTCTGAGAAAGAAATAACCCTGGAAAATAGCATTTGTCTGAAAGGTAAATATAACAGGAAGTTATTAATGAGAGACTGAAAAGCAACACATATGTAATGTTAGCTACAAGTACTCGTTACTCCTTTATAGAGTTATGTTTCACACAACAGATCAATTCACTGTACTGTTGCTACAGGAACTTAGTAGCCAGCAGACATTCCTTAACAACTATACAATCATTTCAGGGCCAGATGCAAAATGAAAAGTGTGAATATAAGAACACAGACTGCTGATTCCAGATGCAATACATTTGCTCAGGACACTGAAAATCATTCCTGCCCTTGCAGAAAATTACAATTTTTATTGAATTTACATATTTTTTTTTTTAGCCAGAAGGAATTATCTATGCACATCACACAACCCTTGATTTTGCTCCAGTAATTCCTACAGTTAAAGACTTACATAAGGAGAGAAACAAGCTCTGTCACATCTCCAGATTCAGAGAAGAACCTAGAATTACTGTGAAGATTCCTTCGGAAAATGCCACAGACTGCAAAACTACAAAGAATTCAGCTGAACATCAAGTGTCATAAAAATCTGTTTATACAGACTTCTTGAAAGACACAGGTTATTCTCTTTAATAAATAAGAGCTTTAAAAAGAACACAATATGCAACTCCAGTAAACACACTAAGAAACCAATTGATATCTGGACAACTGATGCAATAAAACAGAATAGATGCACAAGAAAGAAGCAGTCTATGTTGTCAGAGCGTAAGAGTTCTCACTTAGACAGGTATTTGGTTTTGCACTATTGAGAATAAAAAGCCATGCTTGTTATGTTGAAGCTGTAAGTCATTTTCTAATTGAAACAACCTAGTAATTTAACTGTTTTCTCACACTGAATCCTCTCACTGAAATTCTACCTCCCTAAATATGTTTTTTTAAGGAAGCTAAAGAAACTACTCTACTTAAAAGCTCGATGGATTGAGTTTTAACAAAAAAACCAACCAAACAAAAAAGAAACCCAAAAACAAAAAAACAAATCCTAATCAGAAGTGTGGATGCTAGTCAATACTCTGCAGTTCTGCCAGAGCCCTGCCAGAGCAGGATCACCTAGACCAGGTCACACAGGAACACGTCCAGGCAGGTTCTGAATGTCTCCAGAGAAGCTGACTCCACAACTGCTCTGGGCAGCCTGGTCCAGTGCCCTGTCAC